CTAAAAGTTGTCAACCGATCTGAAATGTAATGTGAAAGATGTAATACTGAAAGCTAGTTATCCTTGTGATGTGTATGTTAGTTCACCAATCCAAAATGTAATTTAAAAGATGCATACTGAAATGTATTAGTTTTAACACGTAAAAAAAAACTAATAAATACAAAGTAAACTAGTTACTAAACCCATTATTACTAAAAGGTAAATCTCTGTTATCCAAATTGTGAGTTCCATAACCATACGATAGACTAATTATGGCAATAAGTAGTCCATCACACTTTATGACTTTCATCACCCTTTAACCTTTTGGTTCGGCTGTAGCTAGCAGCCAGGTGCGGGATTGTAACAGCCCGGAATTTCAGGTATTGTTTTAAAACTATTTTTGGGGACATTTTAGGAAGGGACTCGGCGAGTTGGTGCCTGACTCGCCGAGTAGGACCACAGACTTGGTCGCAGATTCGCGACTGGACTCGACGAGTCCATTAGGGACTCGGCGAGTCGACGCTGTTTAGCAGAAACCCTAGCCGTTTGGTTTTGGATCGTTTATAACGCCTCTTAGGCCGTCATTGTTCGTTTTTGCTTACTGAGAAGAACCCTAGAACGATTGTGTGCGTCTGGAACAAGGATTGAAGACCATTGTTGGGTTTGGAAGAGTTGTGTGCAAGGAAGAGGAAGGTTTAGCTAAAGGAACAGCAAGAGAATCACGTTCTGAGGATTGGGGACACAGAAAGTGCATCAATCAGGTAATATCTCGGATTTCGTTCTTCTGTGATTGATGTGTATATGAAGTTAGGGTTTATAGAACCCATTTGATGATTAGAGGGATTATTATGTTGTTACCCAAGTGTTTATACCCCAGTAATAGGATGTTTAGAGGTCCAGATAGTCCCATGAGTGTGTATTGCGGGACCATACGTGTTTCAGGAAGCAGTTGATCGACTGCATGGCATGGACTCGCCGAGTCGGATGAGCAGACTCGGCGAGTAGCTTGAAGATTTACTGGGACTCGCCGAGTTGTTCTTCAGACTCGGCGAGTGGAGTCGGGGTGGCCCCGCGATTCTTCCACGAGGACCTCGTCGAGTCAAGAGGGATACTCGACGAGTAGAAGGGGAACAACAGGGAAATTTGGGAGGACGTCTAGACTCGCCGAGTCCCTTTGCACTCGACGAGTCCGGTCAAGTTGACCGTTGACCAGAGTTGACCTGCATGTAAATTCTTAGGGTCAGTTGTCTTGAATGATAAGAGTATTAATAAGGGTATATGGATTATAGGGAGTCTGCAGATCGGCGGATCGAGTGCGAGTAGTTTCAAGAGTTGATAGCTTACATTACCACGAGGTGAGTCTTCTCACTATACTGTACCCGGAAGGGTTTGACTGTGTGACCGGAAGGTCGGATATGTTATGTGTTTATATGTGCTATAATTGAAAGGAATAGTTGCTATGCATGCTATGTATGTTTCTATGGGCCGGAAGGCAATGTATTATGTGACAGGAAGGTCAGGTATGATATATGCTATATTTGATATATGTGTTAGAGTAAATGTATTATGTGTTATATATGTTTATGGGCCGGAAGGCAATCATGTTATGGGCCGGAAGGCAATTATCTTATGGGCCGGAAGGCAATTATGTTATGGGCCGGAAGGCAATTATCTTATGGGCCGGAAGGCAATTATCTTATGGGCCGGAAGGCGATTATCATATGGGCCGGAAGGCATTGTACTGTGGACCGGAAGGTCCGGGCCTGGAAAGGCGTATATGTGTAAGTGGTATACTGGGGAACTCACTAAGCATTTATGCTTACAAGTTGTTATGTATGTGTTTCAGGTACTAGCGAGGACCGTGGGAAGGCGCCGGCATGATGCATACACACTGCTGCTATTGAGATCTTGGGGATTTTACATATGTATTTGTTTTGAAACATGAAATAAATATTATTGGTTGAATGAACTCACTTTATTTAAAATGAAAAATTTATTTGAAAATTTGCGTTGTTACAATTGGTATCAGAGTCTTGGTTTGAGGGATTCGGGTGTACCTTCGGGTGTAACTGAACTCAAACCGAGGATTTGAGGAAAAATCTTTTAGAAATAATAAATACATAAACTTTTATAAATGGAAAAGTGGTAAACAAGAAAGACGCAGTGTGTACGATCAGCCAGCGCTCGAACGGTAAAGATCCCCAGAATACCTTACAATGTTATGTTATGCATTGAATTATGAATTGTTATGCATGCTAGAAGACTAGGTATACATGATAGGACTAGAATGGCCTGTTTTGTGATGCCTTAGTCTAGGGAAGTTGTTTGTATGAGATATTCGGTAGCGTGCAGGTAGATAGTGCATACGAGAAGTAGAGTACTCACTATTCGGGGTTTGGGGAGGAAGATTTGGGACGAATACTGACACGGTGTGGTCGGTAGTATTGGGCCCGTACTACCGAAGGCACCGGGTCGGTGAAAGACCCAAGTAAGAATCCCTGGATATCGGAGACTGAGTAGGGTTGCGTTATCGAGTACAAA